ATCCAAGCCCATGTTGAAAAGGGTTTTAGGCTACATAGACAAACCCCAGGAGCCATAAGCATCCTTGAACCCGAAAGTTACAACCTGTATTAGGGGACTTATAACCCCACTAAAAACTACCCCTAAACCCTAAACCCTATAGAACCCGTTAAAGGAACCCTTAAAGGAACCCTTAAAGGAACTCTTACAGGAACCCCATAAACCCTACTTATAACTACCTATGAACCTCCAAGTCAGAAGCTGAGTTTCCTAAGCCATGTCGAGGTCCCGGGCCTCCATGAAGCACAACGGCCGAAGCCTTGATGTGGCCATGGCTTTAAGGGTTTTGTAGCTAGGGCTTAGGGTTTAGGGTTTAGGGTTTAGGGTTTAGGGGTTTAGGGGTTTAGGATTTAGGGTTTGGGGTTCAGGGTTTAGGGTCGGGCTTGGAGGTATTCGGGCTTTGGGCTTTGGGCGGTTTCGGAATGTTGGCGTCCAGTGCATCGGAAGATCGTTGTGGTTGAATCTTTACGGGTGACGGCAGCGGAGGTGCCGGCCTGACTGCAAACCTGAACCGTCGCCCTTTTTCGAGACTGCGAGTGACAGGGGCCTAAACCCGAAATGCAAAACTAAAGAACTCAGCGCTAATAGTCCTCTAATTTAGCAAGCGAAGAGGAGACCGTGGCCTTCCATCGATGGGTGAGTCATGCAGGCATCATGGAATGTAGGCGGATTACGCCTCAAGTCCCGAACTGTTGCTCCCAGAAACCACAAAATATTAACCCTCACCCTGAAATCCTGAGCCCTGATTCTCAAACCCCGGATCTTGCGGTAGGTCGACCCACAGAGCTCTTGCCAAGAGCGAGCATAGATCCTTTCACAGGACCAGCATTTACTTAGTAGCTGAGTGGGGACACTTGACACTTTTCGGGACAACACTATCCCCGATACTAATGCAAGTTTACCATTTTTATGGGCTCATGAATTCAACAACAAGGTTCAGGGTCTGAGACCAGCGCGCTTCCTTTCGAAGCCCAACCGTAAGGTTGGCTAACCTTTAACTGGAACTTTGCTGGAAATAAGAGAGTGCAGATGCACCCGGCATGATGCCTGGATGTTTGCGGTGGGGCCTTGGCCGGCTATTAAGTATAGAGGATTTATATCAGTGGCCTTGGTGGGAATATGAAGCAGGTTTTGGTTCAGGCTTCCTTGCTTGAATATTGTTGAGTGTATGTTTGCACTTCGTATAAACCTTAAATCTCAACTTAAAGCATGAACCCTGTAAGCCCTCAGCCGCAGAAACACCCAAAAGCACCCAAAGCCTCAAAACCCCAAGCCCTTGCTTGGAGGTTCATGGGTAGTTATAAGTATGGTTATAAGTCCCGTAATATGAGTTATAACTATAGTTACCCTACTTATAATCCCATTTATAACTACCCATGAACCTCCAAGTGTAGATCCCTTTAAAGGAACCCTCATAGAAGCTTTGTAGATATCTGCAAAGGCAACCCACCCGAAACCGGAAAGCCGTTGCTTGTTGGGGTTGTGGCTGGGTTCCGAGCGCAAGTCGACGTTCGAGTCTTGTTGGCTCACGTTGTGGGAGGGGTTTAGGCTTTAGGGTTCCTTGAAGAGTTCGACAGGGGTGCTACAAGGGTTTTGATAAGTGTAATATAGGGGCCTGAATAATTACTAATACTCTTCGAGGGATTCCTTACTATAGCGATAATATACCACAAACCCCTATTCTAATTATTAAGGCCCCTACCTTACCAAAAGTATTTGAGGGTTTGGCCATGGTGTTCGGAGGTTTGAGGGCTAGGCTCTGAACGTTAGAGTTCTTGCTTCCTTACTTGAGATCTTCCTTTGGGGTTTAGACGGTTCAGGGTTTAGAGTTTTTAGAGTTTACACCCTTCAGCTCACACCCCAAGATGCACCTAGAAGCTTAGATCCACAAGATGCACCCAAAGGCTTAGACCCCAAGATGCAAGCGGACTGCGCAAGGCCTGGTCTTCAAGCATAGCCTCCGCTTCTACAGGCGCTGGAAAAAGGGGGTGGAAGGGATCAGGGCCGGCCCCTAGAATTCTTGGGGTTTATGGTTTGGGGTTTAGGGGTAAAGGGTTTAGGTTTTAGGGTAGCGTAAACCCAAAAAAAACCTAACTTAAGATAAAACCCTGCCCTAACCTAGTCTGGATGTTGCTTCGGAGTTGCCTTTTTTGGTTTATAGGATCGAGCCCAGAGTTCTTGAACTAGTTTTCGTATTATGGGGCCAAGGGGCCGGCAAAATTCAGTGCCGAATGAAGTTCCTGTTTGGGCTTGCCTTGATTTCCTGTTTAGAGAATTAACCCTGAACCCTAAACCCCTAAACCCTAAACCCTAAACTGTAACTTGTGTGACCGGCACAAGGAACTACAACAGAAAGTGTAGCTTTGATCTACCACCCTGAAACCATCCCAGAACTCTGGAAGATGGGAGTTTCCGAGAGAAAGGGGTACTTTATTTTAGCTTAGGAGCCCAATAGGTAAACTAAACTTTTTTGGTATATTAAACCCTTACAAAAAGAAAAGTCTAAGCTTTGTTGGGCCAGGGTATTGGGCTTAAAGGTTGGGGTCCTTATAATAACGATCCTAGTATTTCGGGTACTGTATTAGGGTCTCCTATCTTCGGAAGACCCTATTATTCTTGCCATTGAATAGAGTACTACAATGCATCCCCGACTTGATCGAGGGGAGAGGGATCCCGAATGCAGACAGGTTGAGGACACATGATGAAGGCCCATGCTAAGCACAGGCTGCGGGTGACATGCCGGGCTTGCTTCCGGTGCTACTCCATGTCACCAGGAATGCAGCTGGCAGCCTCATCAAGGCCGGCAAGGCAGGGCAGGAGCACGCGGGCAAGTTAGATGTATCTCACAATCACCGTGGAAGAAGTTGTTCCTAAATATATTGTCCCCACATTACGGTCTAAGGCTTTGGAATAGGACCCGAGGCAATACAGGTGGTTCGTTGTGATAGGAAGTTCTCATGGGTCGACGGCTTCCAGCACTTTTTATTCGGATAGATTCCATCATTAGCTGCCCAGAGCTCCCTTTCAATAGCAATACCTGTTAGCTACAAGGTTGCGTTTGACTGGAAGATGGATCCTTCCAGTAATTGAATTTAAAGCCTCCTTACCGAAGCAGTATTGGGGTTTTCTGCAGACGAATACTACTTCTTGACATCATCGAGACTTCTAGGTAAAGGTAGAGGGGTCTAGCAAGGGTCAAGCAATTTGTTCTGCAACATGGTAATTACCGGCATGTCACTGAGGCCTGTAGTATGCTGAGTTTCTTGTGGGATGATGTCTTCTCAAGGTTAACTGTTGGCTAGGCGGCCCTTTACTGAAAGGGCTTTCAACGAATGTGCTCCTCTTGTTCTGAAACTCCCAGTATGCTACGAGGGCAGTTGCTCTGACATGATTCGTGCAGTCTTGAAGTCAAGGCTCAAGCATGCTTTTCGATTTTTAGGATGCACAAAGGCCTGCAGCGCTAGCTCTGCCACCGAATTTCGGCTTTGCGGCTTCTCGTGCCGGCCACTGGCGCAGGATGGTAGCCTGGCTTGCGCGGACGCGAAGTTTTTGCGCGCGTTATCAGCGTTGAGCTTAATCATGGGAATGTGTCTTTTTGCCCACTCTAGTCTAAGTTTCCTTGCCCTTCCATGTGCCTGAACCGCAACCGTAAACCACTACAGCCTTCAACCTCTTGATCGTGAATACCTGCGATGATTGTTTACTTAGGGGTTCAGGGGCCTGAATAATGACCAATACGATTCTTCACTTTGGAGTTCCTAACCTATGCTTTGCTGAATATTCACCAAAACCCTAGTCTTGTCATTTAGCCACCGACAGTATAGCCTGGAAAACCGAGTCTCATGGGACAGGCGGCGCACGCTGCTTTGCTCCGGAATTCTGCAGGTTGTAAGCACTTGGCCAAGCTTAAATCTAAAACTTTAACTGGGCTTTGGAGTACCATACTTTAATACATTTTTTGGGGACCTGTTCCTTACCCAGAGTGCGCTCTGTTGGAAAGATTCAATAAGAAGCACTCGTTTCAACACATGCAGTCGGTTTCAATAAAACTTCGTGGCTTATTGGTTTATGGGGAGGAGTTGATTATTGAAATGCGGCCTAGCGAAATCCAGAGACATGAAGGTGGATTCGAGCCTGTTTCAATAAGCCACTTCTCTATTGAAATGGCTCATATATATAGCTATATATATATATATATATATTATATAAATTTCTACATACAGT